GAATATAGACTTATTATAGTGGAATTGCGAAGTCATACAGCAACTCTGTTTAACTCAAGGGACCACAGTTTTCAAATTAAACATCATTTTATATTTCCATCAGCAATTCCTTCATGCTTTCACCAAGACTTGGGATTATCTGATTTTTTTTTTTAAATTACAGTCACAGTAGTGAGTATAACATGAAATCTCATTGTGGTTTTGACTTGCAATTACCTGGTGGATAATGATGTTGGGCATCTTTTTATGGCTTTAATGGCCACTTACCATCTTCTTTGGCATATTTTGCAATAGGTCTTCTTTTTATTAGTAAATTAGAAAGGCTTTTTATATAATGTACAACTAAATCCCTAATCAGATATACGATCTTAAAGATACGTATTTATGGTTTAATTTTTGTTTTTGCTTTTGTTTTTTGGAGACAGGGCTTCTCTGTAGCTTTGGAGCCTGTCCCAGAACAAGTTATTGTAGACCAGGCTAGCCTCAAACTCACAGAGATCTGCCTGCCTCTGCCTCATGAGTGCTGGGATTAAAGGTGTGCACCACCACTGCCGGGCAATATTTACGTTTTGAGAGTTATTTTTTCATAACTCTCTTGTTTCCAAGTCCTATTTGTAAACTTGGCAATACGTTCACGACTACTTTAAGTATAATGGTCATAACTTACATAGACTTGGCATATTCTGGTGTATAATATATAATTGATAAATTAAGAATGAAATTAAGAATTATCTTCATAATAAACAAATCTGTTAGGAGATACACAAAGCAAAATAAAACATCATATCTAAAAGAAGCTAACATTGTTCTTGTGAGTATTTAATTTCTGGGCATAATTCAAGCAGTTGGAGACTCAAGCTATCAGTCTCTAACCCAAGGTGGGAAGAAGCTGTCTACTGTCAGGAGAAAAAAAATCTACTTATTCCCTCCCATGTCCTTCATCCCTATAAATGAAGAATGGTGTGTGCGTGCATGTGTGTGTGCATGCGTGTGTGTGTGTGTGCGTGTGTGTATGCATGTGTGTGTTTGTGTGTGTGTGTGCGTGCGTGTATGTATGCGTGTGTGTGTGCGTGCGTGTGTGTGTCCGTGTGTGTATGCATGTGTGTGTGTGTGTGTGTTTGTGTGTGTGTGTTAGTGGGAATAATCTTTACTGGTGAAAACTAAACTGCAGAGTTCATTATCTGTTAATACAATGAAACTTGGTAGCATTGTTCCATTCCATAGTCTTCTTGGCCACTTTTTTTTCTTTAAATTTATTTCATGCTTATGAAAGTGTTTTGTCCATACATCTGACTTTGTACCATGTGTGTGCCTGGTGCCTGTAGAAGCCTGAAGAGGGTTATGAGCTGCCATACGGGTGCCGGGAACTGAACCCAGGTCTTGTGGGCGAGTAGCCAGTGCTCTTAACTGCTGAGCTATCTTTCCCAACCCACCCCTCCTGGGTCACTTCTGATTTACATCCGAGGAGTTACTCAACAGATGACACGGGTTGCAAAGCCTCTGATTTCCCAGATCTTCAGCCAGGAAGTATAGCAAACCCCACACCTTGTCCTATCAACAAGCCAAACAACATCCTTCTCAGTGACAAGTGAAGAAAACCTCACTCCCTGCTTGTGAGACTGGTTGGCAACTGTCACGGTTTCTCACAGTCTCTTCATCCTGTGTCATCATTTGACCCTAATTTTATTAAGGATTTTCAAATTTGAGGATTCATGGAGAAATAAGTCTTCTATTGGAAAAAAAAAAAGGTGCAGTCTTGTCAAGAAAGCATGCCCTAGCTTCAAGTTACTGATTTAATTATCTCTGCCAGCTTTTGAAGATCTCCGTGCAGAGCCATGCGCTCTCTAACAGGCTCTCAATCCATAACCATGCAGAGCTAACAGAACTATTAGAACCCCTCCCTGCCTTCAGCAGGCCTGTGTTCTAATTAAACCCCAGCACACGGAAACCATTCCAAAGATGGTAACACCACTGCCCCTTACACCAAGTGGTCCCAGCTACGTCAGCAAGACTTCTGAGGAAAATTCCCGAAATTAAAATTTATCTAGCCAGGTGTGGAGGTGCACATCAGGAATCCAGCACTCAGAAGACTAGAGCAGGGGGATGGTGAGTTTGAGGTCAGCCTGGACCAGTGGGGAGTTCCTGGCCAGCCTGGGTATAGAGTGAGATTCTGCCTCACAGAAAGCAAAGGTGTTGGTGTGTACCTATAATCTCAACACTGAAGAGGCTGAATGAAGTAGGAGGATTATTGGTAAGAGTTTGAGGTCAGACTGGAGTTTCATAGTGAGGCTCTGTCCACTCACAAACCAACCAGTCAAACAAACAAATGAAATTGACACGGGCAGTAAATGCCAGTGCTTGCCAGCAATTCTGATAAACAAAGTTTTACCCCAAGTTTTCTGGGCTTCTGAATTCTGCTGACTACATAGGCAAAAGCCCCCTTATCTTGTTTGCCTGCTCAATATTCGCCACCACTTGGCCTTTTCGGATCTAATTCTAAATAACAGGTCCTGAACATCCTAAAAACACAGACTCACTCCAAGAACACATGGATTCCGATATTGCTAACGCACAGCCTTTTTGTGGTGCTGATGAGAATAAATATTCTCGTATGCATAACCGACCATCAGCCTAAAGGTGATGACGAGATTGCTGATGTCACAAACAAGCCCCTATGGGGCAGTCAGAGAGCAGCTGCAGGGTACCATTTTCAGAGCGGTTCCTTCAAAGCCTTAGTTGCGTTTGCATTTTTTAAAAGTGACTCATGGCCTCAAGTCAGGTTCCGCAGAGAAGCCAGGTCTTTCCTTCCAGCACTTTCGAATAGAGGTGGTATTGGCAAGATCTATCTCAATGAAACCCACCCAGGAACCCGTGGGAGGTTCAGAGCAGGGCAGTGGAGACCCCTCGAAGTTAGACCGCCCCAGGGTGCGCTGGCTGTCGGCCGGCAGGCTACGGGTGACCCTCCAGCCCGGAACTCGCGGTCCTCAGCGCCAGGGGAGCAGCTAGAGCGTTGGGTTGCACTGACCCAGATGAGGTCCGCCCGGGAACCGGGTCCCAGAATCCCAGGTCCTCGTATCCCCCGAGTCCTCACATCTGGGTGGCCTCAGATCCCTGCGCCCGCGTCGCCTTTCTTCCCGGCGTCCTGACCATCTCCCACCCTACCCGGAGCGCGCAACTTGCGAGCGCCCGCCCGCCCGGAGCCTAGGCAAGCCCACCACCCCCCTCCCAATTTCCCCAGGTTCCCCGCGCGCTCTAGTCTGACCTGCTGCGGAGCCCAGGTTCCGGCTTCGGTGATGCAAAGCCGGCTTCGGTCACTAGCGCGCCCTCGTCCCGCAGGCCCTGCGCTGCCTCCGCCTGCCCTCCCCCCGGCACGGGAGCCCGAGCCGGTCACGCTGCTCGCGGGGAGAGTCGCCCGCGGCTTCCGGCAGCTCCAAATACAGACGCGCGCGGGAGGGGCCGGGAGCGCCCAGCTGAGGGCGGGGGTGGCAACGAAGGGAGCGGAGAGGAGGCGCAGATGGGCTGTGGGAGAAGGGGCGATGACCAGTACAAGCAGGAAATTCCTTCGTCTCCTCCAGGTTTGCACAGAGGTCTGGAAAGGTCTAGTGGCTTCTGGCTTGGGGTGATACACAATGACCCTGGCAAAGAAAGGGATAATGAGGTAAACTCGAATGTCCTTCAACTCGAGGTAAAGGATAAAGGGCTACAGACGTGTTTATCTCTTTAGATAGACTGTAGATTCAGGGCAATTAATACTCCCTTACAGTGTTGTTCAAAAGTAACATATATACCAACTTTAAAAAGTCATCTGATTATTTAGACACAAATATAACCCCAGTCATCCTACTTCGGCAGCTGCCTATTTGTAGACAAGGCCCCATCTTCTATGTATATGGTCCATGCTTAAAAACCTGGGAGCTTTTCTCTCTGATTAGCATAATCAGAAAGGACTGATTTTCAAGTTCCTTTCCTTTTCTTTTTTTTTTTTTGTAGGGGGGAGGGTACAGAGTTTATTTAGTGGATATTGGGAAGGGTATGGGGTAAGGGATTATGTGGGCAGGGAGAGAGCGGGAACAGAGAAAGAGAAGAAAGAGGAAGGGGAGGGCAGGGGAGTCAGAAACTGCCTCTTCAGGAAAAGGACGGGCATGAATCTCTTCATTGAACGAATGTGGGGTTTTTGTTTAACTTTTGAGACAGTGTCTCAGTGTGTAGCCCTCACAGGCCTGGGACTTACTATTCCCCAACAGTTTTGAAACCAAACTGTTCTCAAACTCACATCCTTCTACCTCTGCCTCTTGAATGCTGGGATTAAAGGTGTGCACCACCACTGTGCCTGGCCTTACAGAGATCCGTAAAGCAAGCTCTCAAAACAGTGCTGAAAGGGGAGTATAGCAAAGTCCGTGTTCCCTGTCAATGCTCATGTCACATTTAATTCAGCTCTGTGTGTTACCCAAAGCCCACAACTTTGAAGCAGCTCCTAGCACACTTTATTCTTGGCCAACAATGGTGTTCTGGGAGAAGCACCTCTTCACACTCTCTTGTCTGGAGTAAAGTAAAGGGAAACAGAGATGTAAACACTGACCTGTGAACTGTTGCCTGAAACCAGAGCTAGAGCGGTTCCTATCCCCTGTGTTGTGTGCCTTGCATAGGGTAGCAGTCAGTAAATCTGTGTGGAATAGCTAACAATGAGTAAGTGAACGAATAGATACGTGGGTTATAGATGGATGTAGAGCATTCGTGTTTCACGAATGCAGAAAAATATAACCCATTCTAACATGGGTACTTATTTATTATTCATTTACATGCATGTACTTAAATGGACACACACACATATCCTGGATTTCTGAGACAAAGTCTTGATGGATATAAAACTCTCGGTCCCTAAATTCATGGCAATCCTCCTGCTTCCTCTTCCTAAATGCTGAGATTACAGACGCAATATCTTCAGAGCACCAACTTCCGAAATTACCAACAGAATGCTTCTTTTCACTTAATTCAGCCGTCCTTCTGTGTCTGTGGAACTGGTCCCAGGGCCTGTCACAGCTGACAAGGTCTGCAGATGTGTAAGAGTGCCGTGTAAAACCGCCTGGCGTTTGCATACTGCTGGAAACTTCCTGCGTGCTGATCATGTCCAGGTGACTCACAGTACCCAAAACAATAGAAATGCCATGTAAGTAGCCATTATAATGTACTGTCTGGGGGGCAGCAAAGACAATGATTGAAGCTGTTCAACTCCACCTCTAATATCTTAAATCCACGGTGGGTTGACTCCACGGATGGAAGCTCCGTGGATGCAGAGGCCTGCCTGCTGGATTTTATGGTGGAATATGATGTACCGTGAAGTATAAGATGAAGGCATAGTTCTGTCATTGAATTTATAATGTAATAGAAAGATAGGCGACTGCGGGTGTCGCCACAGAGTGAGGAAAATGATGAGAAATGTCCAAAATATGCACAGAGCTTCTGGAAGCAGAGATGAGAGGAGGGCGTTGGATCCAGAGGGTCCGGAGTGTTTTCTAGCGTAAGAGAAAGGTGGGATTTTAGGCAGAAGAAAGAACGGAAGAGAGAATGGCCCCAGAGCTTAGGAGGTTGGGACAGGAAGATGGCGCCAAGTTCAAACCAGCCTGGGCTGCATGGTGCTTTAGAGGCCTCCCTAGGCCGATGGTGCAAGGCTCTGTCTCAGTGCCTGAGGGGAGTTGGGGAGAGAAATGGAGAAGAGGGAGGGGGAGGTTAGATAAGGCCATAAAGGAAGTTGGATTAGAGGACTGCCATGTGGAAGGAGGCCTTCAATTCTACCCCAAGACGTTAAACCCTCTGTAGTAGACACTGGGAGGCTGCTAACGACTTTTAAAAGCAGAGATAGCGATGGTCAATCCGTGGTGATTCACAGGACCAGAAAAAAAAGCAGCCGTGGATCCCACTTAGTCCCATATACTGTAAGACCTATGAGTGGTGTGTCTCTAAGGGACAAATCTCCCAAGAGTCTTTTCTCTTCATAACTCTCTAAAATGATGGTCCACATTTTTCCAACCAGTCCTGAAGAGTCCAAGGAATCAGAGATGACATTTTCTGGGTTCAAGACTGTGTCCACAGAAGCATCCCTGAGTCCTCTTCGTGGATAATGTTCTTGGTCAGAATCTGAAAGTGGTGGAGCTAGAAGAAAGAAGGAAGTCTAGGCTGAGCTAGACTTCCCTAAATCTCATTGACCCGCCTTGAGACTCCAGCCCAAACCTGCCTTTGTTCTGCGCAAATGATCTCTTTAACAAGGATCTTCAGACCCCTTATACAATGCTGGGTGTGGGGTGCACACTTGTAATCCAGGGCTGGGGAGGCATAGACTTGCAGCTCCCCGAGGCTCGCCAGCCAGTCTGACTAGCCTATCTGTAGAACTTCAGACTAGTGACAGACCGTTTGACTCAAAATAAAGAGGGGCAAAATCCTCTGTCCTCTGATCTCCATAGCAACTATGTGCACACATATGCACATGCATCTACACACACATAATCCATGAACACACCACACACACACACACACACACACACACACACACACTGTGGTTTCCAGAATCTCGTCTTAGTCTCTTTGTTGCTGTAACTGAGCACCTGACGCTGGGCAACTTAACTACATATCCCACTAGATAGTCTGTGAATACAGAAATTTAAATTTCTCATGGTCCTGGAGGTGGGGAAGTGGAAGACCCAGGAGACTGGAGTCTGCTGACAGCTCACATTTTGGTTCCAAACTGGCGCCCTTGCTCACATGGCAGAAGGCAGGAGGGCAAAAAGCAGACAAATGAGGTGTGCCTGCTCAGGGTGGAGGAGCAAAAGGGATGAGAACTCCCACAGCCTTTTTCTTGAAATATTATTACATTTATTTATTTTGTGTATATATATATATGTGTGTGTGTGTGTGTGTGTGTGTGTGTGTGTGTGTGTGTATTTGCAAGCACGTGCCACAGCACACATGTGGAGGTCAGAAGACAACTTGCAGGAGTTGGTTTTCTTTTTCCACTATGTGTGTCCCAGAGATGGAGCTCAGGGTGACAGACTTGTCAGCAAGCACCTCTATCTCCCATTACCCCCTCTCCAATCTCTTTGCAAGAACACTGACCCCAGCCAGAGGGCCGGGGCACTCTGGTCTCTCCCACTTTGTCATCTCTCATATTTTAATGCTCTGGCATCTGGTAGTAGCTCCATGTACATTTTTCGGAAGGTGAGTGCATTCAACTCTGGCAGGTTCCAAAGCACCTAGCCCTCTGACTGATTCGCAGGATGCTAACCACTGTTGAACTTGCTTGATGAAAAATTCTCCCCCTGTAACCGTGTATTAAATGGGAACCAGTGAGTCTTTTTAAATACTTTCAGCTAAGCAGCAGTCACAATGACCAATGGAGACAGAGAGAGATGCATTCCAGAGTGTTTTCCCAAATGAATCTATTCTAGGTGACCAGACCACACTGCAAATTCTATTCTACCCCCAGGGATGCTCTGATCTAAGATGGGATCACTGAGCCTTGGTGTTTGATGGCAGTCTCTTTTGCTCCATTGGTAGGGTCTCTCCCAGGCAAATAGAAAACACACAACAAACAGTTCCTCCCCAAGGCTTTTCTTGGTTCCCAAGGAAGCCAAGAAGATGACGGTGTCGTTCCACAAACACTCCTTTTCTGGAGTCAAAAGACCGAAAGACTGTGCTGCCAGTGTACTGTAGGACTTCATGTTTTATTTTACCAAGTTCCCAGTGGAAAATTACCAGTAGTCATTTATACCAGCAGAGGACTCGAGAACATTTGTTCTACAAATAGTGGATGTTATACTGTGCTGCTCACATCCTGGGTACCCAGAATGCAGCACTGTCAGCAAGTCGAATACCAATGCCATTGACCTTCCACCTGCACAGCTTCCACACCCAAGGATCCAGCCAACCTCAGGCTTACGATCTCTGAACTAAAAACTGTAGGGAACACGCACGATTTTTTGTTCTTGTCATTAATCTCTAAGCAATACTGTGTGCACTTATTTCTGTGATGTTTTCATTGACTGGGTACTAGAAGCAATCGGAGCATACTATAGGACAGTCTAAGCTGTAAGCAACACTACACCATTTTATAGTAAGAAAGTAAGCATCAAGGGTGTGGGTGTGTGGAAGAGTCTTGAGATACCAAGAGAGAACTGCAATTGATAAAAAAAAATTAAGCTCTTAACTTCATATGGAACAGCAAGAAACCCAGGACAGCCAAAACAATCCTGTACAATAAAGGAACTTCTGAAGGCATCACAATCCCGACTTCAAACTCTACTACAGAGCTACAGTACTGAAAACAGTCTGATATTGGCATAAAAACAGACAGAAGACCAATAGAAAACCAAATCAAAGACCTAGATATTAATCGTCACCTATGAACACCTGATTTTTGACAAAGAAGCAAAAAGTATAAAATAGAATAAAGAAAGCATGTTCAACAAATGGTGCTGGCATAACTGGATATCAGCATGTAGGAGAATGGAAATAGATCCATATCTATCCCCATGCACAGAACTCAAGTCCAAATAGATCAAAGACCTCAACATAAAGCCAACCACACTGAACCTCATAGAAGAGAAAGTGGGAAGTACACTTGAACATATTGGTACAGGAGACCACTCCATAAATATAATCCTGGTAGCACAGACACTGAGAGAAACAACTAACAAATGGAACCTCCTGAAACTGAAAAGCTTCTGTAAAGCAAAGGACACGGTCGACAAGACAAAACAGCACCCTACAGAATAGGAAAAGATCTTCACTAACCCCACATTGGACAGAAGTCTGATATCCAAAATATACAAAGAACTGAAGAAATTGATCATCAAAAAAATAATCCAATAAAGAATGGGGTACAGACCTAAACAAAGAACTCTCAACAGAGGAATCTAAAATGGCTGAAAGACACTTAAGGAAATGCTCAACATCCTTAGCCATCAAAGAAATGCAAATCAAAACAATTCTGAGGTTTCATTTCATGCCTGTAAGAATGGCCAAGATCAAACACACTGATGACAACTTATGCTGGAGGCATTGTGGGGGAAAGGGAACACTCCTGCATTGCTGGTGGGAGTGTAAGCTGGTACAGCTCCTTTGGTTATCAGTATGGCAATTTCTCAGAAAATCAAGAAACAACCTTTCTCAAAACTCAGCAATACCACTTTTGGGTATATATTCAAAGAATACTCAACTGTGCCACAAGGACATGTATTCAACTATGTTCATAGCTGCATTGCTTGTCATACCAGAATCACCTGGAAACAACCTAAATACCCCTTGACTGAAGAATGGATAAGGAAAATGTGGTCCGTTTACACAATGGAGTACTACACAGCAGAAAAACATGACATCTTGAAATTTGCAAGCAAATGGATGGAGCTAGAAAACATTGAGTGAGGTAACCCAGACCCAGAAATACAAATGTCATATGTACTCACTCATAAGTGACTTTTAGACATAAAGCAAAGAAAACCAACCTACAATTCACAATTCCAGAGAACATAGACAACAGTGAGGACCCTAAGAGAGACTTGCATGGATCAAATCTACCTAGGAAGTAGAAAAAGACAAGATCTCCTGAGTAAATTGGGAGCATGGGGACCATGGGAGAGGGTTGAAGGGGAGGGGAGAGGAAGGAAATGTGTAGCTCAATAAAATCAATTTTAAAATGTTAAGAAAAGAAGAAAGAAGAAAATTTAACCAAGAAATGCAATCCTAGATTGACATTTAAATTAAAGGAACCATAATCTTATTTTAAGTTCTCTTACCTGTCTTACAATTGTTAATTATAAGTATAAATATCTTTCTCCCCTTTCACAGTAATAAGTATAATTAAGTAGAAATATTACAATTGATGTTTTAATTAAAAATAACAGAAAAATATTAAGCCATCACCATGTGTGAGAATATCACCTGTTCCAAGTATTTTATATATTTATTAACTTCGCAGCCTCGTGACTTGGGTACTGTTATTACCTTCCGTTTGTAAGTCAAGAACTCACCACAGAAAGATGCAGCTATTGACCAAGATCATAGGATAATATTGCCTGAGATTTAGACCCAGGAGTCTGGCTGGATTTCTTCTAACCAACACATTTTATAGAAATAAGAAAAAAAATGAAAGAAATCAATTTAAATATCACAAACGACCAGCACAAAATTAGATACCTCACCAGTTATGACTAGTTTTGTGCCTGTGTCATTGAGAGTTCCAGCTGGGGAGATGGTTGATAAGATGCTTGGCTTGCCTGTCTCCGAATCCGTGTCAGAGAGTTAGGCATGGTGAGGTCTGCTTGTAATCCTGCGGCTGCTGAGCCAGAGACAGGCAGGTCCTTGGGGCTTGTGGGCCAGTTATCCTGGTCTACTTGTTAACATCCAGGGCAGTGAGATACTATGAACTGTGAGGTCCCTCTTGAGGAATGAATGACATTCTCTGACCCCCACATACACACTCACACATGGACATTTAAACATGCGTGTGCGTGCGCGCACACACACACACACACACACACACACACACACACAGTCAATCAATCAAGAAAAAATTGTCACGTCTCCCTTTTATTGAGCCAATTTAGTATCCGTGGGAGACCGGTTCTAAGACTCTGGACAATTCTCAGATCCTTGAGTAAATAAAAATCTCATAATAGTTGCATGTTAATTACCCTTCTTGTATACTTTAGCAATCTCTATATTGCTTGAAATATTTCATACAGTAACTAAAGCTGTAAAAATTACTTTAGTGTGTGGTTTAGGGAATAATCATGGAAGGGAGAATTGTCTGCTCCTGTTCAGTACAGATGTATTTAAACTAGAGTTTTGTTACATAATACATAGAAAGATAAAGTGGTGCTCTGGATGAGAATGACCCCTGTAGGTTCGTATGTTTGAATTCTTGATCTTCCAGTTGGTGGAACTGTTTGGGAAAGATTAGGAGGTTGGCTTTTTTTGATAAGGTGTATCACTAGGGGTGGGCATTGAGAGTTCAAAAGTCATGAGAGGCTGAGTCTCTTGTTCTCTCTCTCTCTCTCTCTCTCTCTCTCTCTCTCTCTCTCTCTCTCTCTTCCTCTGCTTGCTGCCTATAGTTAGGATGTAAGTGCTTAGCTACTGCTCCAGCACCATGTCTGCCTGCCATGCTCCCTGCCATGATGGTTATGGTCTAACTGTCTGAAACTGTAAACAAGCCCCGAATTAAATGTCTTTCTTCATCAGCTGCCTTGCTCATGGTGTCACAGCAATAGAACAATAACTGAGACAGAAGTAGAACCCAAGGATGCAGAGGGGGCTACTGTATGCATGAGGATCAGCAAGGCAGAGAAAATGGCAGTGAAATTTGGGGGAGTCCTCCAGAGTTCATGAGCTATGGACAGACAGGAGTATTAAGTCTTGCCTAACCCATGCAAGACCCAGACTCCCTCAGCAGAGTTAACAGCTCTGACTGTGGAGAATTCTTTTCTTCTCAAGGAGGGGAAACTTGATAGCTCAACTCTTGAATCCTGATTCTTCTCCTGTCCAATGAAAGAGGATCCTTGGGAATCCATGCCAAAGAAGTGAAGACCCCTAGACAAAGTTAAAATAGTCCAAACTTTTGTCATTTGATGTGTGTGTGTGTGTGTGTGTGTGTGTGTGTGTGTGTGTGTGTGTTGGGGTCTTTCAAAGATGTTCAGGTTGTCCTTAATCTCTTGGCCTAAAGTAATCGCCCCACCCCGGTCTCCCAACCAGTAGCTGTGGTCCACACTGCGATGCTGAGTGATCCTGAGAAGTGATTGCTGAGAACTCAAGCGAGCAGCTGTGAAGTACAGCAGAACTTGCTGAAGTCCTGCCACTTCCATGTCACGTCTGTCACCCTGTGTCCATCACCACCATCTACAGACACAGCCTCTCCGGGCTCCCCATCTCTCGGTTACTGGATCTGCCATGTGAAATGGTCGGGTGTCACAGGGAAGCATCCCCTTTTCCCAGCATGATGGTTCTGTGACGTCACTTTCATGGTTATATCTATTCACAAATAGCTGGAGTCTGGGGAAGTCAGAGTACAGAAGAGCGATGGTGTAACTATAAACAGAAGGCGCCAACAGTGGACTTCCTCAGGCTCCACAGATGCTAAAAATGACACGTTTCATTTATCATGTGAACAAGGATTCCGAACTTGGGACCTCTGGATAGGTTTCAAAGACTATATCCTAGAAATCAGGCATGGCAGTGCATGTTTATAATTCCAGCATTCAGTATGTAGAGGCGGGGATTATCACAAGTTGTAAGCCAAGAAGGACACCAAAGTAAGACCTTATCCCAAAAAATGAAAGAAAGGAACTGTTCAACCTGCACATAGTCACGATATCATTTAGGGAGTATAACGTGGCAGTTTAGGGTAGGCATAGTATGTAATGGTCAGTCATATTAGGATTGGTGTGTGTATCATCCCAGGGATACATCACTTTTAATGTTTGAAACACCCAAGATTCTTTTTATTAGCTATTTTGGAGTAATCAAGCCATTGTCACCCATACTTTGCCTACTGTGCCTCTGTTCTGTGGACAGTTTAGAAAATGTCCCTCCTATTCCGTTGTATTCCTCTGCTTGTAGCCATCCTCTTCTTGCTCTGTTTGTTTCTCTGTCTTTCTGTCTGTCTATCCATCCATCATTCCATACATCCATCTATCTTTAATGCTTTCTACAAAGGGCAGGCCAGCCTCGAACTGCCAATCCTCTTGTCCTTAGCCTCTTGGGTGCTGAGCCACCACTTCCAGCTTGTGAAGAGGTTTTTTTTTTTTTTTTTTAAAAAACAGATTGTGAACCCCACAAATTCCATGTTCTAGATTGATATATTTGTCAAATACATGTGACAACGGATCTTTACAAACCCATAGATGTTTTTAAGATTCCAATGACTCATTGGAACCATACCTAAACAATTTAGTTCATAGCTATCTCTTCTTTTTTCCGGGCGCCTTTGAAATGTATAGTCTATTCATTCAATTAAAAGGAAATGACTCTCAATTTTAAAATATTTTCCCTTTTGAAGTTTCTACTGTTGATATTTAAAAGCTGGGATTCAAAGCTCAGGTTTATTTTAAGTCATTACTCAGTGGGAAAGAAAGGATGCCATATACACGATGCCCCTCCACCCCCAGAATGTGTTCATGAATACTCTCCATCTACCCATTACCCTTGTGCCTGCAAACTGGGGATACCTGCCTTGCTATACTGGGAGAGATAGTGCGTGATGCTCAATCCTCAGTAGGTGTTTTCAGGAGTAATGTAATGAAATAAATCCAGTTTTAAAGTCAGGACTTAGAGAAATGAACAAATTTTTTGGGTTTTGTTTCTTCCTAGAGCCATACTAGAAGTAAGCTATTGCTTTTTCATTATAAATCCCATTTACTGCAACATATGAATATGATGATACCTTGCTCATATAGGCTCATAGATTTGAATGCTTGCTCACCAGGGTGTGGCACCATTAAGAGGTGTGGCCTTGTTGGAGGAGGCGTGGCCTTGTTGGAGGAAGTGTGTCACTGAGGGTGGGCTTTGAGGTTTCAGTATGCTCAAGGCAGGCACGGTGCCTCGCTCTCAGCTTCCCCTCCAGCACTATTTCTGCCTGCACACTGTCATGCTTCCTGCCATGACGATAATGGACTAAACCTTGGAATCTGTAAGCCAGCTCCAATTAAATGCTTTCTTCTAAGAGTTCCTGTGGTTATGGCAGCTCTTCACAGGAATCAAACATGAATTAAGACACATTTGAAAAAGTATTCTTCACGGCCAGTGAGATAGTTCGGTAGGTAAGAATTCCTGCTGCATGAACTTAGCAGCTTGGGCTGGATTCCTGGAACCCACAGTGCAAGCCCAAGTAGAGAACCAACTCCTGAAGGTTGTCCTCTGACCTCTACACCTGCACCACGGCAGGGTCATGCCCACATTCAAACACATGCACCACACACATGCATACACATGCACTAAAATAAAAATTTAAAAAAGGGAAAGAAAATTCATCAAAAACATATTTTACATATTTTAAAGCTGAGAGGTATTATCCAATAGAATATAAAGGAGCTGTAAGCCAATGAGATGTAGAATAAGTACAGAAAAGCCGCCAATGTGATACTGGGTTCTGTCTTCTCAGCGTCAATAGACTTAAGAGAGCGAAAGTGGCCAAGGATAGTGAGACGTAAGGTTGTTAATTAAAAGGCTAGTGTATTTCCTTTCCATCTGAATACAATATAGTAGTGACAATATAGATTACATCCATCTACCGTCCTAATCAAACTTACAAATAGGAGTATTTGTTATAGTTTGAATATAAAATGTCCCCTCCATGCTTATGTGCTTGAATACATAGTCTTCATCTGGTAACACTGTTTAGAAAAAGTTGTGGAGCCTTTGAGAATTTATCTAGCTGGAATAAATGGATTTCTGGGGAACAGGCCATGAGAGACATTAAATAGCCCCTCTTTCTCTCTCGTTTCCTTCCTTCCTCCCTCCCTCCCTCTTCCTTCCTTCCTTCCTTCCTTCCTTCCTTCCTTCCTTCCTTCCTTCCTTCCTCTCTCTCTCTTTCTTTCTTTGTCCTTCCTTTCTTCCTTCCTTCCTCATTCTTTCCTCCTTCCTTCCTTCGTTCCTTTCCTTTTTTAACTTTTTATTAATTTTTTAAAATGAATTTCACATCATGTATCCCAATTCCACTCAGCTCCCCATTCCTCCATATCTGTCCTCTGCCCTTGCAACTCCACCCCCCAAAAAATTAAAAATTAAGTTAATAATAACAATAAAAGTATAAAGATAAAAAAGTCTTGGTCTTGCCGGGGACGCTGTAGTGTGTCACACAATCTACCCTTTTGCCCAAACAGCTTTGTTTGCAAATGTTCATTACAATGAGTCATTCATTGGACTGGTTCAAGGCCTCTGACTTTTGCTACCCTATCAATACAGGATCTTCACCGGAACACCTCTGGGATATCCTGTTGTTGCCCTGTGTCATAGAGACCTTGCAGCTTTGGTTCTGAAGAACCAGTCTCTTCACGTGCTCCAGCAGGTCATGGATGGGGTAGATGTTGGGTTGGGCCAACTCAAAACCCTGGATCTGGGCTTGGGTGGCAGCTGAGTTGATCAGCCTGCCTATTCTCCTACACCTGAGCCACCAGGGCCAGCTCTCCCACTTTGCTCAGGCTCGAGGTGGGTGCAGTTCTCCTGCCTGTGGCAGCTGGCAAGGAGTGAGACTGGTTTATTCCATCAGGGCTAGTTTCCTCACCAGTGCCACCAGGGCCAGTGAGGTACCGGGCCCTCTTTCTTGTGTGCAGCAGCTGCCAGCCCCACTTTCTGTCCCATCTAATGCTCGATGGTCTGAGGAGTTATTAGCAAACAGCCCTTCACCTTCCTACAGCCACGGCCATACCTGTTGTTCTGTAATACCTTCTAAACCGTGACAGACTGCATAGCCCCAAACCCAAGTCAGAGCACGCATCTCCACTCTTGCATTGGTTTTGGTCAGGTATTTGAAACCTCATAATCACAAGAACAGTAATGAATACAGAATTTTTATGTCTTTTATGTGTTTTTATATGTATTGTTTTCAAGTACACTAAAAGTGAAATTACAATGTATAGTTTAAAAAGAGAATGAGATTTTGGTTTTTAAAATTACATAGGGCTGGAGAGGGGGCTCAGTGGTAAAGCGCATGTGTTGCTCTTCCGGATGACCCAGACTGGGTATCCAGCACCAGTGTGGTAGCTCATAACTGTTAACTGGCTCTAGGGCATCTGACACCCTCTCCTGCCTTCTGCTAATACTGCACGCACTTGGTGCACATAAATATATGCAGGCAAAACATCCATATGCACAAATCAAAACAAACAAATATTTAATGAGTTTTCAAGATTATGTTTATAAAGTGGAGTCTTCTTGTTGGTCTCCCTTAGGTATGGCAGAGGAAAGTGTTTATACTGCTGCAGCGGCTGAGCTCAAGATGGAGACGAGAGACTATGTAGGAGCCTGGACAGGTATGACTATGATTTAGCCAAAACAAACACCCCGTTCTGAAGTGGAGTGAATACCACAGAATCCACCTATGTGGCACATAGAGCGCTTGCAGTCAACACCGGCTGACTGCAATATTGTGACACACAACAGCCAGAGAACAATCTGGAAAATAGGTGTTGTCCAACAGGTGTGTCCAGACCTCTGACGTCACGATACAATATTGTCATCTCCAAAATTCTTGCTTGAGAACTGCACAATGACGTTGCAAAACAATTACAGCATAACTTGTAAGGTCTTAAGCTCCACAGTTTTGTACTGGGCCACGTTCACGGCATGTGGCTCAGTGGGTCAAGGTTGGACGAGTCTGGTAGGAGAAATTACAGCTGTCTCCCAGCTACTTTAAACAAATATGTCAGGGGTGAGCTATGAAATAAATATTATATTGATGTATTTTTCTTAAAATCTATTAAGTGCAGAGATATATATTTATGTATAGGTATATAATTTTATATACAACATACATAATTAAAATAACCTACAACTTTTAAGATGGCCATCTTAGGATGGAAAATCCCCAGGTTATGTCTTCTTCGAGCCAGGTATTTTCCTAGCTAGGACACTTGCAGACATTGTTACAGAGCACACCTCTAGCTCTCCAAGTTTCTGTCCGACTTAGTTCAACAATCATGAACAAGAGGGATTAACTTCAAACCTTTCTCCTTGCCAGACCTCAGACCCGGAAAACAATGCTCTACTTTCTATGGATTTCCCGGCTTTTAGAAACAATGCAATTTCAAGTCAGTATTTTTTAATGAACCCTAAAAGCAACAATAAGGCTGATTAAAAACCCCATCCTTTCTCACACCCCAGGGTCTGGTGATTGGATTCAGCTGTTTCCCACCAACCGCGAGGGATAGGACCCTTGCAATGTACACTTTTTAGCTACAGAAAAGGAAGAGTTCAGAGGCAGCCACCTTGCCCATTTCTGGTCAGGGCAGAAGGCATTTGTTCCTCCCCCTCTCCTCCACATTTCGCGTCCAGATTAACTCCATCATCCCGTGACTAAAGGAGAAAATAACTCCCCAGCTGTCTCTGGCTTCTTTAGCTGCTAGCACAAGAACCTGATCCACAGGGGGACATTCCGGCGTTAAGGACAGTCAGCACATGTGACTTGGGATATAGCACACAGATTTTTGGTGGTGCTATTTAGAGGGTACCTCTGTTTGTCTTTTTAGGGTACCCCGAATATGTCCAAAGCTACACTAAAAGATTCTGCTTATAGACCCTAAAACATTGAATTTATAGATGCAGAAAGTAGAATGGTGAGTGCAGGGAGCAGGAGGAGGGCTGAGCATGTGGAAGGAGAGATGGGGAGAGGCAGGGAGGAGGGTGAGCACATGGAAGGAAAGATGTGGGGAGGAGCAGGAGGGAGGGCTGAGCACATGGGAGGAGAGATGTGGGGAGGAGCAGGAGGGAGGGCTGAGCACATGGAAGGAGAGATGTGGGGAGGAGCAGAGAGGAATTAGGAACTGAGCATCGTGGCACAGGCCTATAATTTCAGTAATCTGGAGTTCTGAGGCAGGGGGATCGCAAGCTCAGAGTCAGCCTGAGTTATATAGGGAGACCCTGTCTTAAGCAAATAAACAGATTTCAGCTAAACAGGAAGAAGTAATTCAGCAGGGGTATTGAGCAGAATGGCAAAGAGTCAATAGTAAAATGCTCTATGCTTCTCACCAAGGGGATACTCTGCATAGTTTCAGCACAGATTATTGCAAGAATGTGAGTGATGGGTATATTAATGAGCTCCATTTAACCATTTAACACTGGAAAACCTATCTATCTGTCTGTCTGTCTGTCTGTCTATCTATCTATCTATCTATCTATCTATCGATCAATCGATCGATCTCCTATTATCATTTTATCTATCTTTTACTATCTTCCCAAGATCTATCTATAAGTATCATTTTCACACTCTAATTATATATATATATATTTTCTAAATAAACTGTATCTTAGTAAACATGAGATGGGGTTGTTGCTTTCACATCTGCGTTCCTGCACTCTTGTGTGAGATCTCAGGGGCACTAGGTCACCATCTGTAGGAATTTACTCGCTGGAGAGCATGGGATGCTGCAGAAGCGCCACAGATCTTCTTGGTATGGTAATGGTAGAATGGATGTAGGAGTTGGCACACTTCTGGAGGGAATCTGAATTTTTTTTTGCATTGAATTTCTTCAAGTGCTTGTAATATTTGGGGGGGTGGTGGTGAACAGAGTTTTATGCTGTTTAGACCAACCTTGAGCTTGCTGTGCAGCTGAGAATGAGCTCGGACTTCTGATTCTCCTGCTTCTAGTTCTCAAATGTTAAGATTACAAGAGTGTGCCATGATGTCCAGTTTATGTGGTACGTCTTGCATGCTGGGCAGGTTATGTGGTACTTCCTGCATGCTGGGCAGGCTAGGTGGTACTTCTTGCATGATGTCCAGTTTATGTGGCACTTTTTGCATGCTGGACAGCTTATGTGGTACGTCTTGCATGCTGGGCAGGTTATGTGGTACTTCTTGAATGCTGGGCAGGTTATATGGTATGTCATACATGCTGAGCAGGTTATGTGGTACTTCTTGCATACTGGGCAGGCTATGTGGTACTTCCTGCATGCTAGATGGGTTATGTAGCATTTCTTGAATGTTGAGCAGGTAGATTGTCAACTGAGCAACTAGCCTCTGTTCTAACTTTGGAAAGATCACACAAGCAGGAGAACCTGGAGTCTCAAAAACGCAGACCAGAAAGGTGAAGGTGCATTGGCTCAATTGACTGTGCATGGGTGGGCAGTGCAGCAAGGATGTATCAGAGAAAGTGCCATAGTTCGGATCTTGAATGGCCTACATGATGAAGGCTAGGTCACAAGATCGTAATGCTACCTGGATGTGGTGAAACTTTTAGGGGGTAGGGCCTAGTGATGAGAAATTACTACTCTATCAGCTTGCCCTTGAAGGGTCTAGTGAATTCGGGGGTTAGCCTCAGGCAGGAGACCCTATCTCCATCCAGCCAGCCAGCCAGCCAGCCAGCCAGTCAGCCAGTCATCCAGTCATCCATCCAGCCAGCCAGCCAACTATCCAGCCATACACATAAACAAAGAGGTTATGTTTTTATTTCATATTTTTAAAAAACAATAAATATACAAATAATGCAATTATTTATTTTTGTAGCTATAGCTTATCTATAATGGAGAAGATTTTTTCCCCAAGTCCAGGTTGACTATCCCTTAACCAAAATTTTTTGGAGCACAGTGTTTCAGATTTCTTCCATCCATTTTGGGAACATTTGTATACACTGGAGAATACAGCCCAAAGTTTCAACACAACGTTCACTTATTATAGACACAGCCCAAAGATTATTGCACAAGCTTTAAAAACAAATTATTATAAGTGATTAACTGATAATTTATGTGTGTGCATGCGTGCATACATGTATGCATGTGTGTGTGTATGTTTGTGTGAATGCCACAAACATGCAAGTACCGGAAGAGGACTGTGAGCTGGAGCTATAGGGAGCTGTGAACTGCTGATGTGGCTGCTGGGAACTGAACCATCAACTCCCACTGGAAAATTTTTAGGGAGTCTTCTTTGATCAAACCTTGTTTTTCTTAACCCAGAATGAATCCACAGCCTCTCATTTTGTGTGAAACAAAAGCAAAAACCTCTTATACAAAGTAACATTTCTTTTGACTTAAATTTTGAAGTCAAGGTATTTTCAAAATATATAGGTTGGATTAATCCGGCAGCATTTATAATCAAATATCTTTTAGCAGCTGTTGCTTCTTCCTCCGCAGTTAGACAATTCAAACACAACACAATAACATACAGTATCCAGATTCTCTGTGTATTTTCCATCTTTACGTGGCTTTTTTACTCTATTACTTTTTAATATTCATTTTATTATCTTTACTCCTTTAATCTATGACTGTCTGTATTTTTTATGTTACTTTTATGGTCTCCTTAAAGACTATGTTTTTTTTTAAAAAAAACTATTTCTTTCTATAATTGCCTTTACCTATTTTCTTTTGTCTTAAGCCTATGTACATTTTGAAAAGACATTATGACCCCTTTATAAGGTTTATTTTTGTCTGAATCTGTCTTGATTGTGTATCTGTAATTTTTTTGATAACTGTTTTAAACTGTTAAGTAGGCATGGCTAGGACCAGAGTAATTTTGCCTCTTGGTTCTACCCTGCTCGGCTTTCCAACATGGCAGAGTCTGTTTACCACCCACTCTGGGAGTCATGTTTGCCATCCCAACTCTAGGAAACAGTTGGTCCATGCCACTACCAAGTAACTTTCAGCACACTGTCCACAAACACCATTCATGTGCCCCCAAACAGGACCTCCTGAAATAGCCAGAGCCATTTGTGCCACCAACATGAGCCAGGGAGCAGTTCCTCAAAGGAGCCAAGCATCTGCTCACCACTGGCAAGCAAAGCCTATTGGGAAAAAATGAAGGTACCAAAAAGCTGTGCTTGGCTCTCATTTTTTTGTGAGTCTAGAAACCTCTTTTTTAAAAAGCATTTTTAGGTCTTATGTAGATCCACACCAGTTGTTGGGTGTCATTTGTAGATGGAAGTTTCTGTTCTGCCCACTCCCACAGCCATTCTGTCTGAAATAAACACACAGAGGCTTACATTAATTATAAACTGTTTAGATTATTAGCTCAGGCTTATTATTAACTAGTTCTTACAATTTAAATTAACCCATAATTCTTGTCTATGTTTAGCCATATGGCTTGGTACCTTTTCTCAGAGAGGCATTCTCATCTTGATTCCTCTGTGTCTGGTGACTGACTCTGCCTTTCTTCTTCTCAGAATTCTCTTGATCTGGTTGCCCCGCCTATACTTCCTGCCTGGCTACTGGCCAATCAGCATTTTATTAAGCCAATACAAGCAACAAATCTTCACAGTGTACAAAAACATTATCCCACAGCATACTTCTATAGTTGAGGAGGGATTTCAGCATCCCATATCTTCCATGGTCAGGTATTTTGCAAGAATTCTGATAGAGAATTAATAAAGACTGGAATGGTGAGTAACCATAATTCTAGAAGCAACCAGTGTCAGGAAGT